GAAGAAAGAAGAAAGAAGAAAGAAGAAACAAAGAAAGAAAAAGGAAAGGAAAGAAAGATTTTTTTCTTGTAATTTGTCTATAGGTTTTTCGACCATGAGAGATTTTCTTTCACTCATATGCAGTTAATCTTGATCAATGTTTTATTGCCATTTCATTATAGTCACAAGTTAGACAGCCTTTCACTATGCTAAATCCTACTGGAGTTCATGAGTTGTCTTCTCATGCTTGTATGTACATTTTCATCTGAAAAGTTTAGCTATTTACCTGTTTCCTTCTATCTCTGCTCTATCATCTATGTGAAAGTTTAACACTCAGGAGCCAGATGTGTCGGCACATGGCTGTAATCCCATCTCTCAAGAGGCCGAGGCAGGAGGATTGTTGCAAGGTTTAGACCAGCCTGGGCTACAAAGTGTGCTCCAGGCCAGCCTGAACTGCACAGGGAGACCCTGTCTCAAAAAGGCAAAAAGCAATTTTAACATTTATAATCAAAAAGACTCTGGTTGCCTATCTCATAACTTCTTTTACATTTTTTTTTCTAATAGCACTTGCTATTTTCCATTTAGTTTTTAGCACCACCTTGCTACATAGTTTCAGATAAACACAATTGTTATATTTACTTGGTCTTTAAATATTTCAATGAAATTATAGAGGAAGTGATATCATATGCAAAAATAAAAATTGCGTACCATTGAAGCAGGTCTACACTGCTATTCTAATAGTGTTTAACATTTTACTTACTATGATTTTGTATCTATAATCTTTCATTCATTCAATAAAATTATAGCTTTTTGTGGGTTTGTAGATAGGTATTGCTCTGTCTATCTATATCTTGACTAGTATTTGTATGTGAAAGGCATTGAATTATCATATGTATTCAATTTTTAGAGTTGATTATATATATAATATAATATAATATAATTTATATATCCAGTATAATAAATTTATTCATCCTTTACTTTTCTTTCTTCTTTGGAAGAGGAGTTGAGAAGGAGTCTCACTCTGCAGTCCAGGCTGGCCTTGAACTCATTATGTAGCCCAGGCTAGCCTCAGAGTCACAGCAATCTTCCTGCTTCAGCCTCCCAAGTAGGATAAATACAGGTGTGCACCACCATACCCAATTCCTACATTTTTATTATTAAAAACTCATATTGATGCTTCTTAGTTAATGGATTTTTGAAAGAATTGTTGAAGAAAGTCACATAAATTTTGTCCATAGTAGCAAATTGGGACTTTTTATAATATGCTTTATAGTATTGAACTGTGCTTGCATTTCTGTGACATGTCTTACATGGTCTTACTATGTTCTCTCTTTTTATGAATTTTTAAATTTTACTTAATTTTAAAGAGTAAAAGCAAAGAGAAAAGCAACAAAAAAAATCAAAGCCAAAGACAGAAACAGAGTAACGTACAGCAACACATCTGGTGTAACATTTCAAAGCAAGAATAGCAAATTAACAATGGCTGTTATGTTATGTATATTTATCATCAAATCCCTTCCTCAGATTAATAGATATAGGTGGGTAAAATTAGTCAAATGATTAAACACTAATCCTTAGTTTCAATAAACCTTAATATTTTTCTTGCTGTTTTTTCATTTTCTGTTTTTTAAATTTATTTTAAGGAGAGCATAAAAATCATCAATAAGACATTACATGGTATACAATTAGAACAAGATGAGAGATATTCAGCCAAGTTTTTTGTATTGCACAGTGCTGTCTTTGATGCAGTCGCTCAGATTAAAGATACTGGCATATAGTTAGTCAAAGTGAAAATTTAAAACATTAACTTCTACCCTCAAAAACCTGGTGGAAATTATTACTACAATCATCTCAGCTATTACATATATATA